GGGTCAGGATAAAGATAAGTGTCACTACATTCAGGAGTTGTTGGGTTGGACATAATTTCTGTTTACAGGATGTGTATGGTTACCTTCCAGCACAACTGTTGCCTGAATAAGTCCCTGAGGATCTTCTCCTAGGAATTGTCCCTTCAGAAGCATCTAGTGTTGCCTTTGGGCTTGTAGCTTGACTTTCCTCACCTGCCATACTGTTGATGCCTCAGTATCCCCCCACTTTCCCAGCAAGTTCCTATGTTTTATTGCCTTCCACAGCAGAACTTCAATTATTGGGAAGAAGATAGTAAGTGTGCCCCATAAGAATTAAGGTTACGGATGGCTAAGGTTAGCCTTGAATTCACATAGAAAGTATCAGAGCTTCTGAAGCGTCTGCTGACACATCATGTGTTCTTATGATCATGATAGACTAAGTGGCACAATTTCGATGTGCCATTATCTTACTATCTTAATAAGTGAACTGTTCAAAGGATTAAAGGTACCCTCTTTGGGTAAAACATTAACTGGTAGATACAAACGGACTGAACTTTTCCTAGCACACACAGAGGCAAAAAAACCCTGCTCGGATCTGCATCTACAGCCATCACAACTCCACTGGTGTCTCTGCAGTCACTCCAGACTTCCGTAAGTGTAAGACTGGCCAGATTTCTAAGGCAGTCCAGCTTCCACCTCTTGTTTGGTTTATTTAATTTTGTTAAACATTTTTCTTCTGCTAGTTATGAGCTATTTCTGAGCTTAAAGGACATGGAAATAGAAAGAAAAAAACTGTGTTACAAGTTGTTTTCATTAATAATGTCTCTCATCACTAGATATCCAACACCTTACAAAAGAGATCGGCTTCACAATTGCCAGAATGAGAAGGCTGGAGGTCCACTTCAGGAACACTGCTTTCATGTTAAGCACTCTGCACTCAGATGCCATCTGACAAAAACCAGAAAACAGTTCTTTTTAGCTTTTCTTTCATGTTCTCCCAGAGATGTACAATAGGCTAAAAGGTAGAACAATGTGTAGCAGCATTAACTTCTGTCACTGTAAATGTCTGTAACACCATTTCTACACCTTTGGTCATGGAAGTGAATGCCAACCTTCATGTTGTCATTCTGCCCACTTGAAAACACATTACCAAACTGTGTAATGTATTAAATATTAAAACATGTAAATAGTCCTGGGAAGTTGCAAGGTGCAGATAAGGTTATAAAAGTCTTACAGTGAGGAAGTTTATGTGGATACTGTGGCTGTTTACTTGTTTGAATGTCTAGATTTAAATGTTTGGGCATTTAAATGCTTGGGCGTTATAATGACTTAGCAAGCTCAGTCTGGTTGGATACTAGTATGGGTGGGCCAGCGGTTCTGTGCCTCAGCACTTGAAGACTTTTAATACTAAGTTACATTATATTTTCATTTAAATGAACAAATCAGTGCTTCTGGTGATATTTATTAAAATATGACTGTAATAAAAGAAAAAATATGTTTATCACAAAAAAAAGAAATCTAACAAAAATATCTCAGAAAATTAAAATGTCACAAAAATAATTACTTTGATCCAAACAATACTGATCAAAACAATATTTGATCAAAACTGGTTTGATCCAAACAAAACCTGGTCAGAATAATATGGGGAAACTATTGTTATTTAACTTTGAACAAACTATATTAGTAATTTGTGTTTGCAATTATACTTGGACAGCACAAGAGAAGTACTCCTAGATAGTGCTGATGGTATTTCTTCTGAAATGAGACCATGTCAATAAGGCAGTTTTAACAAAGATTAGAGCTTAAATCTCCTATCACAGTGAGATAGCAATCAGTTTGATGTCAGCAAGAACGACTCTAAAGTTCATATCAGTTTTACTATTGGAGTCTTTATTTGATAATAACAGATAACAGTGGATAGTTGAAAGTTCTTATCACAGCTTAAAGTCATATTCATGTAACTTCACCTTTGTTAATGGGCTTTAATTAGAACTCAAATTTTATATGAGAATGGTTGAGGTTAAAGTAAAGTCAGTACTTATGTTTCAGTATAGAGATAAGGAATAATATTGGTCTCTGATTTATAAGGCAATGGTCTGCTTCTTGTGTAAGTGAACTACAAGTACAAAGGTAGACACATGGCAATGACATTATCGTTATACTAGCGATTTAGTTAACCAGCTCCTCTGCCTTGAGAAATTTTATTTCCATTGAGCACAGAGATCACACCCTAAATGTCGTCCCCAGCCTTGCACGGCCGCAGGGTACAACCGGGCCAATGCTGGGCAGGGTAGTGCTTTGCTCCAAAGATATCTTGGTGGCCCTTTTTAAGTTTGGGAGAGAAGCTCAAGGCACTCAGAGACAGGAGGGAAGTGAAAGCAAGAAGAACCCAAAAGGAAACAGCTTGTAGCCTTCACCACAATTGTGTAAAGCAGAAAAAAATACAGTGAAGAAAACCTGCCTGCAGTGGGGAGCTGGTAACTTCAAAAGTGTCATGAGGGGTGAACAGAGAGAGGAAACTGTGGGGAGAAAAGCTAGATTTGGTTGGGGGAAGATTTGTGTTTGAAGGATTCTGCAACTGGATAGTGTTTGTAAATGAGGTCAAGCCTCAGGAGAGGCTATTCAAACTGTGGGATTGGATCATTTGCATTAAGGCTTATGTTTTCAGTATTCCTTACTGGGAAGAGTAGGACAGCACAGTCTCCTGGAGTTTATAACATTTTGGTAAACATTGTGTATATGATTTACAATGTGTCTGGTAAACCCAAGACCAAAGAGGTAGCCTCTCCAGAGAGGGCTGTATTTCCTCTGTGTTCTCCAGAACATGGAGTTCCATAACCTCCTCTATGCTCTCCCATCAAACACGTGTTTTTACAAAGGGAGAAGAAGCATTGCGAAATAATAAAATTAGAGAAGTCCCCTAATCCACTAAATTCCACTGAAAGTTACACATTCTAATTGTAAATCAACACGTTGATATTTCTCCATTTCAATGTAAAAAGGGGGAAATTACACAGCTAGCAAGAAAACTCTACTCTCCATACCTCACTAACTGCTTATCTGTCATTAGCATGACGAGAACAACAACAAAAAAAAATGTTTATTGATAAATAAAGTATTTTTCACTTGACAAGCAGGAAAAATGAACTTTGCAAGGCCTCGTTATTTAAGTTGTACAAAATATGGGACAGACCTTGCAGGCACAGACACCTGAAATTCACTACCAAAACACATTTGGGTTGATTTCGAAAGTTGCTGGATATCTGCAGCTCCTTGTGCTTCCATTCAAACAACTTTTAACAAGATTTCCAATTATCTCCTCTTAGCTGAATCTTAAGCTAGATGAACAGTCATGGTAAAGAAGGGTGAAAGTGGTTCAAACTAATCTTTTTTATTGCTTGCTTGCTCTATGGAAATCTGCTTGACACCTCTACAGATTAGACCGCTCACGGGTCAGGTAATTAAAACTGCAGCATCAAGAGCTCTGGCCATGTAAATGGATGAGGATAGGCTGAAGAGAACGTATTAAAGCAAAGCAGAACACCATGAACAGAGAAAATGGTCCCCGTGGCCTAGTGGAAATAGAGTTAGATGGGTTTGCTTTTTTGCCAGATCCTTTTCAGTCTCTAACATTGCTGAAAAATCCTGTACTTGGCTTTGTGTATACAAGTGAGTCTACATCTCAATACACACACACACTCTCTCTCACATATATGCGTATATACATATAATTTATGTACATCTATCTGCATATGTGTATGTACGTGGACTTTGATACCCTTCATCTCCTACAGCCTTCCGGTTCAATCCTGTTGTTCCTTCATTAATACTACTGACTCTAACAAAGTCCAATAATTTCTTTTCTAATCTGGCTTTTTATTTTGTTATGACCTGTTTCTGTCAGTGCTTTCCAATCAGCGACTAAGGCATGCTGTCTTGTTGATCTCCCAAAGTGAGGAGAGGCCATCAAACAGACAATAGGCGAGGAACAGAGGAGCCGCTTAGGCGTGTAACAAGTGTGTCACAGCAGTTAATTGTAGCACAAATTGTGTCTTAAATCAAATAAATATGTATATTTATAAAAGATCGGTTTGCCCTAAGAAGTGATGTTAAAACATTTTGGCAACAACAGAGATTTAGCTGAAAAAAATCGGATTTCAGGGTAACCTCGTATGAAATTGCATAATATATAATTGTGCAAAGAATCTTTTTATCCTTCATGTTCAATAGAGCCTATGATTTGCTCTGCAATCACATGCTTTATATTGAAATAATTCTTTTCCCAGAGGATTTTAAAATTAACAACATTCAACTCAGTTAAGTACCTTATCTAGAAACAAAAGCATAAAGTTAAAAATCCCCCTTATTTTAAATGATTCCTGCCATGCTTTCACAGAGCGGATTCAGGTCACATATGGGAGAATATGTTATAATGATTATTTGTGAAAAGTTGTTTAATTCAAAGATGTGCCACTCAATTCACTCTGGAACACCTTGTATATAAAGAAATATAGCACGTGACTGTTTAGTGATGCTATTTCCTTAATTCATAGAATAGCCCAGTTTAAATTTCACAGAATGGAAAGGAAAGGACGACGTCCTGCTCTGAAAGATTTGTCACTCCCAAAGAGCCAAATTCAGAATAGTTGGGTAGAGATTTCTTTTCTTTTTCTCTCCCTACCTGCCAAATGGGGCAAGCACCCCTGCGCAGTGTCTAAAATTGTGTCTGAAATGCTGAAAGTGATGTTTCAGAATCATTCCACCTGGCTCCCTGGGTGTCCCTGGCTGCTTCAGATGGGTTCATAAGGAGCAACCAGGCGAGTTACATTTTTTTCACCTCTCCTTTGAATCAGTGAAAGAGTTAATTTTAATGAGAATGTGCAAGAATTATGGTGTATGTGCTAGAGATTAAAGATCAGCTATTATAAATTGTCAATCTATAAGCCACCAGCCGCTAGCTCGAATTGCACTTTGACCTTATCTTTATATGTAACAGGAAAGAGCTGTTCTTAGCCCAGACGGGAAGGGAGCACTACGGCTGCGGGAGCGGTGGCGTAGAGGACACAGAAACTGTTTATTACATGAGAGATGGATACGGTATTTGCTCGAAATAAAGAAGAACATCCAGAGCCCATAAAAGCTGAAGTGCAAGGTAAGGGAAAGGAAATCTGTTCTAACATGTGCGGTTAATTTGGTGTTTTCACGTATGTAAACACTGAAAAACTTGTTCAACCAAGACAACACTGAAAAGGGAAACTGCGAAAGCGAGAACCGTGAGTTTTGTTTCAAGGACTGATCTCAGATAATATTTGTGGCCCGACTGTGGGATTTTTCTCACTTTGTGGGCATTTCTGTGTACTTTTCCAAAAAGTCTGTTTGAACAGGATTCACTGAAGTTGGTGGTGAGGGAGAAGTCTCGGGATTTAATCTGGTGACACCCCCTCACTATGGCTCTGCTCAGGCTTTCGGTTTCTCCTCTCTGTAACCCTTCCCTAGCCCAGCACCCCCCTCTGCTCACGCTCTCCCTCCCCTCCTGGAGAGAGTCTCTAACGTTGGGACTCTTCAACAACAGTATTTCTAAGTAGCAAAGCAGCAGTAATGGATGCCACTGTGTACTGTTAAAAAGAGGGGGTTTCCCTCTTTTTTGTCCAGTAAAAACCACGGCGTATCCTTCAGAGAGATAGTTTAAAGTGTCTCTCTAGGGATGAATGCTCGATCAATCTGTTATTTTTACTACTTTTTTTACTTCACAGAAGAGTGTTTTGCTACAGCTAGAGGAGAGGTTTGTTGCTGAGAAGCCCTATTTAGTAAATACACAACACTTAGACAACAGTTAAAACTTGCATGACATTGTTATTGTTCAGTTTGGTGGCTGAATTGGAAAAGATTTTGTTTCAAGTCAGACGAAGTGCTTTGTTATAATTTGAGGTGGTTTTATGCCTTTCAATTTCTTTCTTTCTCCAGATAAATACTTGTTATTGAAACGTTTGAAGTTGTTTGCAAACAAACCATTTATCAGACATGATCTGTATTATGGAATGGTTTATTTCAACAAGGACTGCCTTTCCAGTAAATAAAATAATGTATACAAAATATTCTTTCATTAGTAATAATGATTCAGTATTGACCAATTATGAAAACTGTAGAGAACCCTGACCTCCTTAAATATTTTGCCAGCCCTGAGCTCTGTCAATATTTTGGTTCCTTGTTACTCAATATGTACACTGTAAATACGACCCCATACTTCTAACATCAGCCATAATTTTACCCATGCTCTCCCAAACACTGGGCAGTCATGTGATTGTATGAGACTGTTGCTATGATAGTTAATAAACTTCCAAATATTTGGATATTTTACCAGGTCACTTTTGTGTCCTCGTGTGGTACGGAAAAGTATAATTATTTCCACTTCAGATAAAAGTCTGAAGCAAAAGAGATACAAGGTCCAGATTTTTAAAGCTATTTAAGCACTTTAGAATGCTGGTTGGTACCCAGTGTGATTTACGGAATTTTTTAATTCCCACTAAGATGAATTTTCATCTGAAAACCTCACTAGATGACATTTTGCTCTACGTTTTTCATAGTGGAATTATGCCAGAAATTACACTGAATAACACCAGAAGTTTCATAAGCTGCGTCAAGTCTGCGGTGCCTTAAAAAGAAGATCCCCTTTTTTCCCTGTTTATCTCTTCCAGCGAAATTATTTTCTTGGCCTGTCCTGGAACTTTTTGAGCACCATTGTTCTGATATAGGGAAATAATCTCTAAACAAAATGTCTAGCCCTAGGAGTTGCAAGATGTTCACTGAATAGCAGAAATATCTGCTTTTCTTGAACGATGGGCCCCAAACCCAGAGCCTACAATCTTCTATTGCCAAATAACAGAAAACTGTAGAAAGGGAAGTGGCAAGAAGAGAAATGCTTATATTTAAGGCCTATAAACAGTCTGAACTTGTTCAGCAATTAATGTTCAGTAGTCAGCCAAACAAATATTATGTATCTATTTTGAATATATACCTTCTTAAGATCATAATCCAGGATTCTTTTCTTTTGCTAACTTGTGATTTCCTCACTGTCTTCTCACCAACTATTTTTAGTTACTCAAGTTTTGTGCAATTATCTGTATTAAGGGTTAAACGTTGTTCATCTTATACAAAAAAGTACCATAATTATAGCATTGCAACTCCTTGTATTAGAAAGGCAAGTAAGGTTTGGTTTTCAAGGCTCTTCTAGAATGCAATAATAATAATAATAATAATAATGTAAGTCCATCCATTGTGTCAACATTTTTTTATCTTCCTCATGTATTGTATTCCAGAACTGTAACCCTAATGCAGTTGAGTGAGTATTGTGGCATACAATATTAGTTGGTCAGCCTGACTGAGAATATATTTTAGGTAAAGCTGACATTTACGCCATATGTTTTTTCCTTGTGTCCTTAATGTCATTTCTTTGAAGAAATGGTAAACGTCCTTGTCTCCCTTACCTCAAAAGGTCAAAATTCAGGAAATACTCTCTTAGAAAGTGGCCAAAGTCCCCTTAGGATCTCAGAAAGTCTTAAAAGCAGAACAATTATTACCTCTCTGCAACTGCAACAGCTTTGACAAAATTGAGTATTTGCATAGGAGGACATTTCTAGCTGTTGTAAAGTGAGTATTAATATGAAAGTGTGTCAACATATTCAACACGGGGTCAAAAACTAAATGATAAGGAGAATTAAAAGTTCTGAATAGCTTTTTATGCAAAGACAATGTTCAGTGCAGGAATTGTGTGGAAAACTAGTATGTGATCTTAAATGTTCCCTCAGGAGGCATACACACAAAGCAAGTGAAGCTTTTAATTTAATATCTGATATGCTTTTGTTCAGCTCTTTAACCCTAATGACATTCTTTAAGTGTTGTCATTCTGTGTGTCAAATAGTAGGTAATGTATTTCTTGCAGGGATTCGATAAGCAACATTTCTTATTCAAACCTCAGCGGTACTTATATATTTTCAGTGTAATATTCCTACCCTTTATTTGTGTTCAAAACACCAACATTACGGCTAGCGTCACAGAAGTGCTCCAAAATGACACTACATTATGCAGTGTAATTTAATAAATTAAATCTTTACTGGAATTCATTTAGCCTGAAGTTTAAATTGATGTACTGAAGGCCAATGCAAGTCATGTAACTTATAAAATATGTTTATTTCTGATAAGCTCTAGCTTTTCCTGGCATGAATAAAAGGGTTTAAATGTATCGCTTTAAAATCTGAGTGCAGGAAAGAAAGGTCCAACTTTATTTAGTTCCTGATACTTAGCAAATTGCATTCCAGCAATCTCATCTTCTTATAGTAATCTCATATAGCAATACTCATGCAGAATATTACTAGTGCCATATATTTTAGTAGATCATATTTTAGTTAACCCAAAGCCCAACATAATTATATGCTATTACAGATCTCGACACACCCATAGTCTGTCTGCCTGTATGAAGCCCATGCCCTTAGGAAAACTGTCCTGTGACAACCTCCTCACCTAAATGAATGGATACCGGTACCTCCTTTGTGTTTGCAGGTCAGTTGCCCACTTGGTTGCAAGGGATACTTCTCCGGAATGGCCCAGGGATGCACACAGTAGGGGACACTAAGTATAACCACTGGTTTGATGGCTTGGCTCTGCTGCATAGCTTTACATTTAAAAATGGTAAGTTGTTGCGCATCAGATTAAAAAAAGCTCAACAAACCAAATCTTGCTGCCTTACGTTGCTGATTCTGTTTTGGGTTTGATTAGCATTAGAATGTTGCAGGTTTTGTCTGCAGAGTGGCATGTGTGGCGAGGTGGTAACCGCTTTGGAGAAAGTCTCTCCAAACATACACTCACACCTCACTCTCCACAGCAGCAGGAGGTGTATCTCCGCAGGGCTGTTATCAGAGACAGATTATGTTGTCCTTTTTTCTGGAGTGCCAAAGTTCAATATTGTCTGCACTGCAGGATAGCCTGCAACCAGCTCTGAGCAGGTCACTGCAGGGCAGCCTTTGCCTTCCACCCAGAGCAAGAAACCCTCCATTGTTTCAAACTGGATCAACCAAAAGTACTGTAATATCCGGAGGTTTTTCTGTTGTGGATGAACAGCCTTGTTTCAGAGAAGACTAACATTCCCCTTTGGGGGTTTGGTTGCAGCTACTACAACAGCTGCCAGGAGAGAAACTGGGCCACTGTGCCACTTCACAGATCAAACCTCACTTATGTATACTTGATAACCCTACAAGCAGTCCTCCTCCTTGTCATCCTTATGGAAGGAAAACAGGCAGCTCCTCTACCCAAAACAATTTCATTTTTTGTTTTCATTTAGAGCATTTTTTATCAGTTCAGCTGTTTTATAGTGTGAGGCAGGATGGTTTATACCTAGATTCTTGCTGCAAAATGTATGTATCTGTAAAAGAAACGGGTTTTACTCCTGTCATCTTCTGTTCCTAGTGTTTACTTTTAGTTTCCATTTCTGTGATCAGAGGCTTTTAATACAACTGCAGGATCTCCCTGCCTATCCAGCTCTACATCCTTAACAAAATAACCTACAAATGACCAGTGTTTTTTAAATTGCTGGTGTATTTTACTCACCTAAAGCAAATAGAGCTCAGTTAGTTCAAGTATAGTGGTCCATTAAATTGGTTAGGATAGATATTGATTCCTTCAAGCAATTTGTTGCTCTGTCATAACTAAATTTTGTCAATACACGAAATTTATCACCACCCACATATTGATGTATAATTAGCCATTTTTACACAGATTGTTCTGGTTTACTGGAAGAAGGGTTTATCCAAATCCTTCCTTTCATGGCCCCAGTCCTCCAGTATTGTCCAAATGTGTTGGGAATCAAGGAAGCTAGACAAATTGTTACAAATCTCAGCAGCCACAGCAACAGTCCTGGGTTCCTTAGAGAGCTGAAAAAGCCTTCCAAAACAGGGAGTTAGGGGCATCTGCTTGAGAAACTCCTTCTCTGGCTTTACCTATGCTACTTTTCTAAAGAACTCAGTACGAGATGCGATTGAAACCTGTTTGGCCTTTGTCAGGTGAAGTTTACTACAGAAGTAAGTATCTCCGAAGTGACACATACAACTGCAATGTAGAAGCAAACCGAATCGTGGTGTCTGAGTTTGGAACTATGGCTTATCCAGATCCATGCAAAAACATATTTGCCAAGTAAGCAATGCTTTTTCCAACAAGATTCTTCTATCTACTTCTCTCTCCAGCACAGATGTCTTTCTCTTTACCCTTGACGCATATTCACTGCTACAAAATTTGTTTTGTAAATTTACAATTGCTAATATTGAAAAGGCCAAGAGATACATCTAGCACTGTACCCTCTCTGGGTTACCCTAAGGCAAATATTTAAAATTCATTTTATCAGCAATATTGGCTGTTTCATTCACTATTGCAAGTAGATTTGTTGTAATTTTGAAAAAAACAAATGTTTTCTTTTTCAAGTGTTTCACAGAAGTTTATAAAAATGATGCTCTGTAAGGGGAGAAGCAGCAAGAAAGGAAAAGATGCAGAGATGGGGAAGGAATTACTGCAATGTTTATTCAACAAAAAGAAGAAAAGCATTGATCACTTTAAAAAATACCAGAAAAACTTCTGGATTAAACACTGCTTTTACAAAAAAAAAGAAAGTGATGAAAAATTTCCATTGTTTCTTGAGTCACATGCAGTGCAACCATAGACCTGAGCTAATCTTATGTTCAAAATCAGAACCACTTAGGATCACTGCAAGAGCTGCTGTCATACAGTTAGAAAGGATGACAGGCTGTATTTGAAAGGCAAGGTGTAAGCCCCTTGTGAAGTTGGCTGTGGATATTCCCTGACAAATGCGAGTAGCTTGCCCATCTCTTCTTCCTGGCTGAATTACCTCTAATGACCTTGAATTTGATATTTGGTCAGAGCAAATGCATGGATAGTTACTGCAAATTAGTTGATAAGTTTTAAGTTGTTACCCTGAGATAAGATTTTCTTCCCTCTTCCAGCACATAGGGTAACGCTGGCATTTTAAGTTCAAAGGTGCTACAAGCAAATTTGTCTTGGCTTCAAGTGAATATGATAAAATCCTAATAAGGAAAACTGTCAAGCCCCCATATGAAGTTGGATCTTCTTTGAAATCATAATTGTGATTCAGGATAACACTGGGAACAAAAATATTCCATTAGGGAGTATATGAACGCATCTATTTTATGCAGGCGTACCCTGAAAAACCTACCAGCTTTTAGGTAGAAACTGTTAGGCCAAATTCTCACAAGGTATGCACAGGGGAGTGTGTAACTAGCCCGTCCTGATAAACCAGTGCATGTGTTACAGCTGACAGCAGGACTGGACCCGGATGCCCGGTTGTGTATGGAAAAACAGTTGCATGCATGTCCTTAACCCTCGCCCAGGCCAAGGGCGTTGAAGAAGTCCATCTCCTCCGCTTTTCCACCCTTTCCACCGAGGCAGGGTAGCAGCAGCCAGAAGAGGGCACAGCAGGGGAGAGACAGACCCAGCTGCATGACCCTGCTGCTGTGCACAGCCCGCACTGCTGGTGGCTTCTGCTTTGCACGGGGTAAAAGCCAGTACAGCTTCTGGGCTCTAATGAACCGATACGGAATTTCCCTCTGTACAGGGCAGTCTCGTATTTGTCTCACACCATTCCTGAGTTCACAGACAACTGCCTGATCAACATTATGAAAACTGGGGATGATTTTTATGCTACCAGTGAGACTAACTTCATCAGGAAAATTAATCCACAGACTCTGGAGACATTAGATAAGGTATGAAAGACTGTCTGTCATTCTAGGTCCTCATCTGCTAATGAATAAAGTTTCAGGCTGACTCATAAGGATTGTTTAACATGTGCAGGACAAAACTGGAAAGATACTTTTCTTCTTCTAGTAATCCCTTGCTTTTGAAATCGTGGTAATGTGAAATAGTGAAGATACCAGATCTTTTAAGAACTCACGAGTTCAAAATCAAAACCCAGGTAGTTTGGAAGAAGCTGAGCTTTGAGCAATTTCACTTGAACACAATCTAGCAAGGTTGCGGGAATAATGCTTATGACATGATTATTTTGGATGGTTGCCATTATTATGCATCTGTAGTTATCAAATGATTTACATAATTAACAATTCAGTAGGTCAGTTATATGACTACTTTTCAAGTACCTTATGCAAGATATTATTTAATTATTAAAATGAAATCTTGACATATTGAAATATACAGTGAGTTCTTTCTAGCATGCAGTACAGTTTGAGTACAATTTCCAAGCATTAAATCAATAGAAACCTTTTTGCTCCAGAAGATTGCTGGACTCATAGCCCTATTAAATAAATTGCTTTCAGGATGAAATGGGCATTTGCAGAGTAACTTCTTTACTTCTTTACAACTCCCGTTGTGTTACATGGCTGCAAGGGAGAGGTGAATGTAATTCAGATTCTGTATCTTGTTTTAGCCTTGAATTAGGAAATCATTTGAGTACCTACATTTGGCTTAACTGTTTAAATTTCAAGGCCTTTTGAAAACAGGGTACTGAAAAAAGGTTGCCCATGCTAAAAAGCTGGTGGATTTGTGGTGTTAGCTGAGATCAATTTTAGTTCTCTTACGCATCTCTAAAATCTCCTATTGTATCATTTCCCAGGTTGACTACAGCAAATATGTAGCTGTAAATGTGACAACTTCTCACCCGCACTATGACAGTGCTGGAAATGTTCTCAACATGGGTACTTCAATAGCTGATAAAGGGAAGACAAAATACGTTCTATTTAAGATTCCTCCCTCTGTGCCAGGTAAGATGTCATTTATCAGTATTTTCTAGAAACTTGTTAGCAATTTCTTTTCTTCTGAGGTTAAGGGGTGGTGATACAGCTCTTCTAGAAACCAATGGCATTCATTTTCATAATTTTAACTTACTGTGAACTTAATGTTAACTGCTTAGCCTGTCTGGGCCTGTGCTACTATAAAGGTTCATCTTGAATACTGTGTAAACAGGGTATTTCAGTATGAAGAACCTTGCTTTTAGAAGGATTTGCCTTTAGAAAAATTTGACTTTGAATATTACAAGAGTGAACTAACTCTTTTAGAAGAATTTCCATTCCCTGTATTCTGATGTGTAGAGGGAGGATGAACAGAAACAATTTTATCTATAGGGCAGTATACATAATTTGAAGTCGTGAATTTTAATTTTCTTCATAAGAGAAAATGCTCTTAAAATGCTGATACTGTGATTATAGGAAGCATAATGCCAAAAAGTACCAACTACAGAGCTAATTCTTCTCTAACCTGTCCTACACTAGGCCTTGCTGGAATAGTGTCTTTTGTTCACAGACCAAGTCACTTGCTCTTTTTCCTTCAAGGCAATCTTCTTTTTTTGTGTTGTTGTTTAAAATTGGCTGCTAATGTGATGTCTGTTGTCTTGGTTGAACAATCAAGAGGCCTTCCACAGCTGAAAGATGAGTTTGGAATTTCTGGATGGGGCTCAGACAAAGTCAGTATAGATCAAACAGGAACATTTCCTTAAAAGTTCAAAAGCATAGGGGCGTTTGAACCCCCTTGTAAAGCTGCCGATTTAATTGAACATCTTTCTCTTCTATGCTGGAACTTCTTAAGATTCCAGTGGAATCAAATACTAAGACGAGGGGCCTCTGTCTAAATGGATCCGGCATTATGGTATTACTGCGTTGCCTCACTCAGATGCAAACTTCTATGTTAATTCTGCAGGAGGAAACAAACCACTTTCCTAACAGGAAAATGCAAATAAAACTGAGAGGAACCTGTTCTTTCCTGCTTCATAGACGGGAGAAATCCAAGCACAAGATTGGATTGGAATTTGTTATAATTTTTTTTTTTTTTATCATTTATGTTCAGAAAAAGAAACGAAGAAATCTTGTTTTAAATATCTGGAAGTGGTATGCTCCATCCCTTCTCGCTCTCTGCTCCACCCAAGCTACTATCATAGCTTTGGAATCACAGAAAATTACATTGTCTTCGTAGAGCAGCCATTCAAACTGGATATTGTCAAAATGGCCACTGCTTACATCCGAGGCGTGAACTGGGCTTCCTGCCTTGCCTATCATAAGGAAGATAAGGTATTTTCCTAGTGCTGAGCAATGGAATCAGCCAGGCCGGTTACCCCTTCCACACTGTTCTGTTTTTCATCTAGTTCATTAATTTCAGTGATCCCTCTTCTTTTTTAACCCTTGAATTTCCTGTTGCGTATTTTTTAAGAGTTGTATTTTTTTAATACTATCTCCCACATCCATAAATTTCACAAATAAGTATCTGATGCTGAAGTGCTTGAGAAAGAGAATAGTTTAGCATTGTTAGAAATACTGTGTGCTAGTGGAGAAATTCAAAACTGCGCTAGCATCCCAGACACATACGGTTCCTTCTGGTCCAAACGAAATACTGTATATTGTGGATGAGACCTGCTCGAGATCCATTGCATCAGACAGGAGAGCCAGACCGGTAGAAAGGCCTGCATCTGACAAAAGGAGAGTCTCACTGTGGCAACTGAGGAAAAAACCTGTTTTCTGAGGACCTTATTTCCACGTGCTCTGCTCATCAATAAGTGGGGCATGCTGGGGTAAGAGGGCACCAGTACAGAGCACTACAGAGACGCTGGACTAAGATTTATTTAACTTAAAAATAGAGCAGGGGATTTTCCAGGTTTTACTGGAAAACTTCAATCCTCAGCCTAGCCCAAATAGTAATTTGCAATAGTAAAATGAGTTTAAAGCACTTCCACACTCATTTTACCCCTGCATTTTTTGATCTTAAGGTTGGAACCTCTTGTCCCCTACCAGCAAATCCCGAGTTCTTAATATGCTTCAGTAGAAACAGACAATACATTAGAATGTTGATGGCTACAATTAGAAAACAGTTTACTGAATAACTATTTGCTGATCATTAACAGTTTTAAATAATGTTTCCTCTCTTTCAGACTTGGTTTCACTTTGTAGACAAGAAGACTAAAAAAGAAGTATCCACCAAGTTTTATACCGACTCCATGGTGCTTTTTCACCATGTAAATGCTTATGAAGAGGATGGCCACATTATTTTTGATATTATTGCCTATGCAGACAATAGCTTATATGATATGTTCTATTTAAAAAACCTGAATAAAGTCTTTGAAGAGAGCGAGAAGCTTACCTCCATGCCAACCTGTAAACGATATGTTGTTCCTCTGCAATATGACAAGGTAGAAAGACAATGCCTTTTTAATCTGTTCTTTGATCAGTAATTTAAAATACATCAGTGTGAATAATGGGTGAATTATCAGTTGCCAACCCTTATGTGCAAATTTCTGATTCTTTAAAAGTAATATATACACAAGTGTGAAGAGTTTTGTTTTGTGTATGTATTGTGAGAAACGGCAATGAGCATACGGTTACATGGATCTAGGTTATGATACCATCTGTTATGGAGAACTGGGCTGCTGAACATACGTAATTTCCTTACCAGTGAGATTATTTCTAAAATGCTATCAAATATGAGCAGATATATCAAGTTGGCTGTAGACTGGAAGGGCATGCATGAGGTTTTGTAAAATCTGTTCCTTCCGCTTTACTGGAAGCCTATGTATAACATACACACGCTCCCAACTCTTGCAATGGTTTTAATAAAATTAGAAGATTTCATTTAAGTGTGAGATTTACCAGGGAAGAGGAAAGATTTTATCTTTCAGTTTAATTTAAAACATCATTTTACATCATTGTTTGCAGGGAAGATTTTGTACTGCCCAGCAACCTGGGCAAGTTTCTGCCTGATACATTTGGAATGGATAATACTTTTTCTTTCTACATCCTGGAATCTTGCTGCTTTGTTCACATCTCAAAAACAGTTATGCAGCAATGACAAAGGATCTGTTGGATCACACCAGCTACCCAAAATACCCTGCAATCTTAAGAATTCAGCAATAGTGTATTAAAACCAAGAGTGCATTACACCTATTTTTGCACTTGATTTATAGCAGGTGCAAATAAACTAACCTTGGTGACTCTTAGTGGGAATTTGATACCCAATTCCCATCTTCATTAATTAAATTCACAAACTATGTAATCCATTTATTATGCTTCTGAAACATAGCCATGTCTACCTAAAGCTTTCCAAAGGCTTGGTGTGATTCAAAATGATTACTCTATGATACGTTAAAATCCTTTGGGTATAACACGATTTCTAATGAAAAGGTCAGAATCTAATGTTACAAGATAAACACCATAAGAAGGAATTTCTTGACTCTGGATTATTTTTTTAATCCCCAAATTGCCTGTATTAATATCAAAGCTGATGAAAGATCTAAATTAGAAGCATTTTCTTCGAGACACATTACTTTTTCAGCATATTCCTCTTTCAGGATGCCGAAGTAGGTTCTAATTTAGTCAGACTTCCATCTACCGCAACTGCTATTAAGGAGAAAGACGGCAGCATCTATTGCCAACCTGAAATACTATGTGAAGGTGAGACATACCTTTATACACATCTCAAATATATTCTCTTACACACACATCGGTGCATTCTAATAATGCCTAATAGCTGTCCATATATGTAAGAACTTTATAAAGCTAAGAGAAACAAAACTTTTAATTAAGAAGTTTAGTGTAAATATTGACAATATCTTTCTCTTCTTTACTTCCCTCCTCTGGGCCTATCCAGAAATACATGACCCTGAACCTCTCAGATACATATCTATCAGGAGTGAAATCCTTTAAATGTCTGAAGTTTTATATTAATATACAATCTCAAGTCTGATCTTACAACTATTAATATGGCTTGCAAATCTACCTGTTACAAGGCTAATTTTAGTTAAATAGGTCTGTTATAAATAGTAACTTCAGTTATTGCTGTATTTTATAAAGATTGCCTTTGAAAGTGGATTTTTAAACCTTTTCAGGGGATAAGAACAGGAATATGTAAAGAGTATATATTTACCTGAAGCAAAAGTAATTTCTTAGAATGGCAGCTTCCAATTACATCTCAATGTTCATATCTCATATGAAGAAAGAAAAAAACAAACAAAAAAAAACCCCTTCATATATCAGTTCCAGTATAATGAATGCCTAAGAAGGAAAAATTGTCATTTTTGAACTAACAACCCTGGCTTAATTATGCTGTGTTAATACACATCTTCAGCTTTTTAGAAATTTTGACATACAAAATCTATGCAACACCTGTTTTAAATATTGTCAAGGTTTTTCACAGGGCAAAACTTCCTGAAGATTGGCATATGTAAACGTGCATTTGAGTTATTTTTCTTCTCTTGTTCCTAAATCTTGAACTTTATTTTACCCAGGGATAGAACTGCCTCGCATCAATTACGACTATAATGGCAAAGAATACAAGTACATCTTTGCGACGGAAGTCCAGGGGACTCCAGTTCCTACAAAGGTAGAATTAGCACTTATAAAGTCAGAAACTGTACTTATAGAACACAAATTGAATTTAAGCAGTTGTAAGTAGACCATGCTTTACTAGTTTGGCCCAAAATGTAGCCTAATCTGCATTCATGCATACAAATTGAACGCATGTGGTTCTGAGGCCAGAACCTGAACTCTTTTTCAACATCAAGCTGTTGGGTACTATGTTCATAAAATTCAGCACCTGAAAGCACGGAGATGAAAAGTTTGGCATATATTAGTTTACTCATGTGATTAAATCAGCCTCTCTGGGCCAAACGATGGAAACAATGTATCTTCATTTTACTAGTTTAAAATCTGGAACATTATTATTAGCTGTTAAAAACACATAGTTCCATAGGCAGCAGAACAAATGCTTTCTTACAGAGATGACTTGAGTTTGGACTCTCAGGTATTCAGTAGTGTATGTGTTTCTGTCACAACTTTTCCCATTGGTGGGTCGTTCACATGCAAAGAAACATGAAATGCCTAAATTCTTATAAGGGTAAGCTCATGTTGTGCCACTTCCCTCATAAAGTATTAATAAACTCAGGCTTCTTTATCCAGCTTCATATTTCCACAAAGTCTCTTGAACACAATAGTTGAGCGCCTCGCTTTTCTGCTAAATTGGGCTGAACTTCTGTAATATGCCAAGAGCTACAAAGGAGAGAATAGGAAAAAAAAGTACTAGACAGACAGACATCTGTCATATTTTTCCCTTTAGGGAACCTAACTAAAAAAATAAGTTATTGCAACAGTGTCTAATCAATTAAAAATATTAAAACAACACCTACTTTTTCAGAAAGCTTTATCTTTTGCTAGCTAGTTCTGTATTAGAAGGTAGCTTTGTGTATACATGATGCCAACTATTCAGGAGACAGCCTAGACTACAAATAGATTAAGACAAAAAGTATTAATAGTTGGAGGTAGGAGTATTGTACAGACAAACTCACTCTCTATACTTCTTGTTCTGTGACTGTAAGGCAGCGCAAGTTGAATTCACTGTTGGTTCTTTTATATAATTACCACAACTGATTACAAAATAAAGCTGGATTTCTGCATGATGCAAGAAAATTTATTGCAGCACATCTGACAGTAGCTCAAACAAATCTGCAAGTTTGTGATTTCCAGGGTAGATAATCCCTGCTTGACTTAAACATACTAAAAAATGCTGTTTGAAGATTTTTTTTTTTCACATCAGTTGCCCTTTAGTGAATGCAGGCACAACAACAACCATGTATACTCCTTAGGTAAAGTCTGTCAGTGAAATTGCTGTCATCCTGGTTAGAAGGGAGAATTCTTCCAAATTCTTCCTCCGGTAATTTGAATAGTTTAGTTTTTGTGTAAACATATTTTTTGACGAAAGGTCAAAAGGGAAAAGAATATAACTGTATCTGTATGGGTAGAGAAAAAGCCTTAACAGAACTGAAGAGAAAATGCCATGCATCCCCACTGGTGATTGGTTTGGTCAGGCCCTTGACCCATTAATGAGATGAAAACATGTGCTCTGTTCCTTCAGCAAATACCAGTATCTGTGTGGAATTCTTGCCCCATTGGTTCAATCTTTACACATCACTCTTAATAGCCTTTGTTCTGGCATATATACCCTACTTAAAAATAGAAGGCCTGTAGAAATATTGAGGTCACAATAAAAGGAAAATAATTCACAGGATTAGAAAATGGAAGGTTTAAACCCTGTTTCCTGCTTTACTACATAATCACAGTGATTTGGCACAAGTCACTTAAATGTCCTGGGCCTTGGACTCTGTATAGCGAGGGCATTATTTATAGTGAAGGTTCGCTCGTGATCTGTAGAATACTTAAACCCATAAATGAAAGGTGCAATTGTGATCTAATGAAATGAAAGCAAAAGAACATTGTGGGATTATGCAGCCACTAAATGTGACTCCAAAGTTTAACATTTTCCAGGGGTTTCCTTCTTGTGATGACACATGCCTTGTTGCTCCTTAACTCTTAGTATTGGTCCCCCATGCCAGCAGTCTGTTCATGTTGTGCCTTTGGAATAAGCAACTGTCTGGGTCACTGACATTTTTCTTTTCTGGTCACAACAATTTAGGTTGTAAAATTTAATATCCAGACAAAGGAAATGCTCCACTGGGGAGAAGACCACTGCTGGCCATCCGAGCCCATTTTTGTTCCCAGCCCTGATGCAAGAGAAGAGGATGATGGTAAAATAACAATAACATTCTGAAACCTGGGGTTACATGAGTTTTGCATTAAATCTTACAAGTTTCATTGTTCTCTGTCAAGGAAGCTGGGCTGATGCTTCCACTGTGAGATTAAAATAAGCACCAGCCATTTTAGTCCTGCAGACAAAAAACCAAAGCAGCAACAGACCAAAATCAGCTTGTGTAATGTCCCAAGGTAGCCACGAACAATGAAACCAATGCTCAGGACTTTCCGGAGAGCCACTTGGAGCTGGATTTATCAATAGTTTGGAGCAGCTGAAGCTGTGGGAAGTCAGCATTGTTACAGATGAGAACATGAAGTGGCACTGCAAGTACCCCTGCAATCTCAATCCAGTTCTGTTCTCAGGTGACTCTTGCGAAGGCAAATGGCAAATAGCTGAAAGAATGAGTCCCAAAACTGCCAGGCACACAATTCGGTGTTGGTTTGCTTTTTTCCTTCCCAATGAACTGCAGGCAGACCAGAAAAAAGCACAAAGAGAAGCATTCATTAGTTCTCTAGCACTCTCAGTAGACTTCTTGATCTAGTAAGGACTTTCAGTTTGTGTCCTAAAATTCTTAGGAAATAAGAATTGTTTCCTGACAGTGTTATCTTTTCTGCTTGGTGTAACTAGTATGTGCTTCTAATTCTTCATTTGTATGTCACAGGCATCGTTCTGACCTGTGTTGTGATGTCTGATCCAACGAAAGCTCCCTTCCTGCTTGTCTTGGATGCTAAAACATTCAAGGAATTGGGCCGAGCCATAGTAGATGTAGAAATGCATCTGGACCTTCACGGAATATTTATACCAGAGAAGGATTTGAAGACTGAGACTGAGTAAAATGCTGTTTATCCTATTACACAGACCGAGACAACCTTCTACTGAATGTGGAATCTTATGACAAGAAATTACTAAATATAATCTCTTCGATAACTATACATAAATCTCCTATAAGAGATAGCAATAGCTTTTACTACAAATAATTATATGCACAACTAGTACATAACTATTCCAAAAGAAGAATGATCAGTATGAAGTGCTAATATTGTATACAACTCATGGGGCAGGGAATAGGAGACAAAGGTATCAAGAAAAATTTTATTTGAGTAGAATATAGCTTTCTGAGCAAATGAAGTACTGTATTTATAGGGTGATGCATAGCATGAGTCACATATATCTGCAGGTCATGTAACTTTCATGGACTGTTTCAAGGCTGCAGCTCCTGATGAAAGTTGTCTCCTGCCAGAAAACCTCACGTTAAACTGTCTGCTATGATACTAATAATTCATGGCAATGCATTGAGGATGCATTGGCTGGCAGGGTTAGGTGCTGCTGGCAGGCAGGCAGGGGCAGGAGCCGGCTGGGGAAGGTGCTTGATTTCTCAAACTCTACCATAACCAAAGTATTACATTGAGGTGCTACAACTTTCTAATTCAGAACCTAAAAAAACTGCTTTGCTAATAATTTTATGGTGTATTTTTCCCTTTTATGTTGACAAAAGCAAGTAACTTCAAATAGGATATATGGTTTTATTAGCATTCAATTACAGTTTAGTGCGATTCAGACTCGAGCACTTTGTATTTAAATCAGTTTTCCTTCAGGAGAATATCTGAGATGGCATTTCATGCGATTAGATGATTACATTTGTAAAAGGTAAAGAAAATGTAGTATTCATTAATATTGCTAATAGTCTCTGTTAATAACAGTATGTATATGAACGCGAGCAGTATATTTCTAACAGAACTCAGATACATGTGTGCAACGAATTGGTAGGGGAAAGAAAGGCCTAGCTTAGACCTCATCTGAACTACACAGTAGCTGAAACTACAAGCTGTTGTTGCTATAGCTAAGCATTTGCTTTATTGTCTGCTTAGGAGCATCCATGTTCTGACATGGGTTTATCATTGCCTGCAACAGATGCTTCCTCATAAAAGTACACAACTCTCATTCATAGTCACAGTTAAAAAACATATTTCAGTAGAGTTCAAATGCCAAGTATACAGCGACTGGGTTTTGTTATAGGAATGGCATTTCCTAACCCCCTGAGGGTAGGTGGGGGGATCTGATTTGGGGCATTGATTTTTCTTTAAATGAGAGCTTTTTTCCTTTGGATTGTATTTTCCTATTGTAGATACCTTTACTGTTTGGGACATCTTTACTGATGGAGAAAACTAGGTATACATCTATCCGTTTTAGGTGTTCATCTGGTCTGTAGGTATCACCACACTACTCAGGTATCTCTCACTCTTTTATATACGCACTTTCACAGTGTCTCTGCTGCTCACTGCGTTTTACAGGTAGAAAACAATGAAATCTTTGTCATTTACTGTCTCCCCATCACATGAGAATCTGGGCTTCGGTGACTTGTTCATGTTTACATAAGACGTTTATGGCAGAGCAGGAATCGAACCAACATCATCCACAGGTTTTGTTTGCTCTGTAACAACTATACCTCCCTTTCTCTGCTTAAGTCTTTGCAGTTTGTAGGGATAAAGAATATACAGGCTACTTTTAATGTTAAAAAAGTCACTGTGGTCAGATCTAGAGTTAAAATATGCAGGTTTGGGCATTCAAATCTTTATTCCATAAAATGGAAATTAACACTTCAGTAAGGTGGGTCTGCAGAAATAGTCATCTTTAGTGTTTTCAAGGCATATTAGCACTACTTTTTAAGAGAACTTGATCTTCTAAAGAAGAAATTGAATTCCATTTTGTAAGTAATATGGAACCAGTACTGGAATGGAAGACTGTCTTCTGATGTTGGCAAAAGACACCAGCTGTGGGGTTGTTTCTTTTAATCTGAAGAAGTTTGGATTTAACAAGTCTCCACAAATATTTCTGGAATTATAAGGTGGTAATGAATCAAAAATCTAACCATTATTATAGATCTCTTTTGAAGAGTTTGTCTCCAGAATTTCTTCCGTAGAACTCATATTGTTATGTTTTCAGATGATTGTGAGTTTGGATACATGTGTTACTTGACTTCTGAGGAGCTAATTCTTACTGGCAGAGACGTCTTGATAGAGGAATATTCATCATAAAAACAATCCGCAGTCTAAGAAAGCAAGTGTGTTGTTTATATTCATGTAGAAATACTGCAGGAAATAAATTATAAGAACCTGTCTTGGGTATGATTTTTTAAACAAAGTGTGTGGTATTCACTTGGTCAATATCACACAGGATTTGATTAGCATCAAGGTTGTAGTCAATCTGAAGAGAACAACAGTGATGTAAATCTAGATTTGCCAATCCCAGTATCCTCCTGTGGCAGAGACAGTATGGATAAAACCATATGGCTCATCACAAATTTGTTCAAGAATGTTTTTAGCAGTTGCAATGGTAATCTGATGCAACATTTACCCTGAATGTGGTAATACACTGCACCACTTCTAGGCTGACAGTAGCGAGGGGGAATGCATGTACGCTTTGCCAAGCGGCTGCAAGGCTTGTGGGTTTTTCTTTTATTGTGGTAACACAGCACATGGTAATGGGTCTGTCATTTGGTTTGTTCTCTGACATCCCTCGCTATGAATGACATCTTGAGGGACAGAATGGTTTGGTTCTTCTTGTGTACCAGTTTAAGTCATAAATTAGCCCAGTAAAAATAATGGAGTTATTGTAATGGCTTAAAAAAAAAAAATCTAGATTCAGTGACTGAAATAAAAATAGTAAGATAGATAGCTCCATGGAAGGAAAAATCCATCACTGAGCAAGAGAATCAGGCCACGGGTATGCATTCATATAATTACTTCCAAGATGTTACAAGTGGCCCTCTAGTTGGTAGAGCAGTTCGTTTTGGTTTTGGTGTTTTTTATCACTGGGCTTCATTAAATGGAACAAATAACAAAGCATAATAATTAATTTGTTCTCTGGAAGTGGATATTATCTGTTACACCTTGTCCCATTGCCCCACATACGCAGCAGGAGGAAGCAGAAACCCTGTTTACTGGGACGAGTTAAGAACCGGAAATACAACTATGTTTTCCTACATAACAATCTATGCAGGAGGCACAGAAACAAACCAGTGTTTTTCTTTTTAAATAACCAGGCCGCTCAATGACAGCTTTCGCAATAATTTAAACCACTGTTCCCTTGGGTATGCAATTACCAAAGTATTAATAACAAGCAAAATACATCTTGCCCCAGCAATGCCAGATGCGGAGTGCTCCCTGCTTTCATTACCCTCAAAGAGAGCTGGGGATGTGTCCTCTGGATCTGTTGTGCTCTTCCTCTTTCTACACTCGCCATCCTGGATAATTATACCCAAGCCAGAAGAAGTGGCCTTCTAATCTTTTTAAATGGCTACGTTATAAGACTACGTGATGCAAAGCTGCCGGTGTTTCACGCAGATTAGTATGGTTTTAGGCCTTCCATCGTACCAGGATGTGAAACACATCCTCTGCTTCTAAAACTCTTGTTCAGAGCTGCACAACACGCCTAGAGGAAGGTAGTGCTCTCGGTTACCCCTCTCCAGGCAGAAAGCGCTTAAGCAAGGTTTGAGCTGTAAATGCTGGCTGAATCGGGGTTATCCAACACTCCTCACAAGCAGGCACGTGGTGCGGTGTTTTGACTGCTGGGGTCTAGGCGTGCAGATGTCCCAGCTGAGATCTCCATCTGGAGAACAAACCAGCATTGTCTCTAGCTTGGAAAGGACAGTGTTGCCTCTGTAGAGTTATTCATTTCTCATCCCTATGGGGATGACGGGGCTGTGAGTAACCTGATCTAGTTAGCGGTGTCCCTGCTCCTGCAGGGGGGTTGGACTAGCTGACCTCTAGGGGTCCCTTCCAACCCAAACCATTCTATGATTCTGTGATTCTATGTTTCTATGATTCTAGACACCTTTATTATTTTTCCTAGTAGTAAAATTATTTGGAGACACCATCATCAAACTGGATTAAGATGAATTATAAAATAAAATTTTAAGTCATCTACATTTCAAAGATACGTATTTTTGACAGCATTGATTTGAAGAAATGCAAAGAATAAAAGCATGTGACCCACCACAGCTTTACTAGATGAGGCCCTCTGAAAATTTTATTCTCCCAACAGAGAAACAGAAAGCACGATGTCCTTTTGGCTGTTTCACAGCCTGAGAAATCCACGGCTACTTTTGACAGCCAGAGCAGGGGGCTGCGGTGAGCTACTGTGTTTGCCCTTCCTGGCAGCGTCGGAATTGTTGGTAACGTAGATCACAGTTTTTCAAACACCGTAACTCGGTGCGAAGAGTTTCACTGCTTCAGTACTGGATGCCCTTAAAGAACGCAGCAGCAGATGGGATCAAGTCATCTCTCAATGTGCAATTAAGCATGTTAAACTTAAACTTTGTCAACAGTCCCGAAGAAAATCTTTTTGCCTGAAAAGGGCCTATTTCCAGCTGCCAGCTGTGGGAAGCGGCGCTATGGAAACGAGTCTCCCTGTGTTTAGTTCTCCTTCGCTGACTTTCTCTCATGCTAACGTTTTCACCTCCAGCTCAAGTAGGGGGGAAAATAAATAAATAACAGGCTGGGTTTAGTCACATTTTAAAGCCAAGAGGGGGGGGGAAAAAAA